TAAGCCAACCATCAAAAAGGCCACCACAACTGGCCATCTCGACCGAATTTCGCTTCTTCTCCCGCACCATCGTCCCCCTCCGGTACCCGTCATCCTCATCTGTCACTCGTCTGCCCACCCACTCAGCCAACACTGCGCTGGTGCATTTTCTGAAAAATAAATGCTTCTCCAACTCTCGAGTACTGTAGTCTGCGACTACAAATGTTGCATATGTAAATTCGGGCAGTCTTTAATACAATTAGTTGTGCACATATTTGTACAAAATTGCGTCTATTCTGAGAATGCATAAAGGCGTACACGTGCATGCGCATGCATCTTTCACTTGCCCCGAGATCCTCTAATCTTCTCATCACCGCCTCTGCCAATCAGTTTCTACATCTTGCAAGTGGACAATCCGAGTCTGACATCCGACTAGCTTGGGTCGCCCACACAGTCGACCAGCCAGAAGGGAGTGCGCGAAGATGTAGTCCAGTTTTGTTGTGATGTATGATGTGTGCTGTATGGGGTGGGTAGTCGAGTGGCAATTGCACAATCATGTCGAGCTCGGGCCAAGTGACGGGATGACGGCCTGTTGTTGGGCCAACCAGCAACACGAGTACGCCTCAAACCTGCTGACAGGCAGTTTAAGAGCTCAACTGTCTCCTCAACCCTCGGACACACATACATGCACACTAATGGAAGCGCATGTATGTGAGGCCGACGAGCAAATTTTGCGTCACACGCTGGAGATAACGTAACAGAGAGAGAGAGTAACATTTGGGGAATGCCAAGACCCAGGTTAGCCCACTTTCAAGTCAGCTAGACTGTAAAAGGGGACAAAACTGTAAAATCTGCAAAAATTATTCAAGTTTTCACCCAGATTCTGCATATACTTTCAAAGAATACTCATTAAGCAGATAGTAGTGTCGTCGATTCTAATGGCAAAAAGACGTGAACTAAAAAGGTGAATTTGGAAAGGTCTGACTTGTCACAAAAGTCATTTCTGTCTTGTGACCGAATCGCCGCTTTAAAAGCCCAATACAATTTCGAATCCCGTTGGGAACGGGCTCAAATCTGCAGTTCAGTGTATATGAGACACGTTTTGGGAGGTAGGGATAGGTGTAATTCATCGACATCGTGAAGTCTACTCACTTTCTTACGGTTGGATGAGAAACTCTCTTGTGAAACATGACATTGTGGCAAAGACTTCATCATCACCTCAAGTCAACTGCTTTCGTCGAATGTAAGCGTCATGTAGACACTATTGCCTACGCCAGTAAGCCCTGGTCGTCTTTTGTCCATGAGTCAGTTGCATCTGGCATGACACATCTGACTTTGCGTGCACGTGTGTACGCGGAAGAGTGAGTGTCCGATTGCATGTGTGCATTTGTATGCGTGTGCGTATGATGCTGTTGCAAGTGTACTGGCATAATGATTGGGATTTCGTGTTCCGCCAGAGTGAACTTGTTACTTGACCTCGTTTCAACCAATCCTATTACACGAAAACTTGGGCTCACTTTAGGTCGCTCAAGGTGATGTAAACACTTATAATT